CAGGGCCATGTCCCTCATGGCACCTCCTGTGTCCTCGGGACGCCCTCTTCCAGCTCTGCTGGCATATGTGACAGATCGTCGAGGTCACCCCACGTGACACGGAACACGCGTGTGTGCTTCAGTGACACGGAACACGCGTGTGCGCCTGCAAAGCTCTCACGGAGCTGTGGGCAAGAGGCTCAGGAACAGAAGCCCCGGGCTCCCTCCATGGTCCTGCCGGAAGCTCCGCTGGGGGTCAGCACAGTTCCCTAACCATGTGCCCCCTCCTGTGTCCGGGTGGACGTCAGAGCCCCCCGAGGGCCAGGGGTCTTGTAGACCACTCGCGGCTCCCTGCCCTACACCACAGCCACCTCCTTGGGCCTGGGGAGCCCTCGCAGCACAGCCAAGCCCCAAAGGTGGCCTCTGACATGGACGGGTCACTGGATCTGTGTCCACCCAGAAGACAGGGACCTCTTCTAAAATCCTTCACTTCATTTCACGGGCAAAGCCCTTTCTCCAGAGAAGGTCTTGTCCCCAGTGTCTGAGGATTCGTCCTGTGTGGGTGGAACAGTGTGTCCCACAGTCATGTCACCTGCAAGGTCACACAGGACCTTGTCAATTGGGAACAGGGTCTCTGCAGAGGTCACTAGTGGAGGGTCCTGAGATGGGCTCCTCCTGGTCAGGGGGCCCTCAGGCCATGGCCGTGTCCTCCCCAGAGACAGAGGAGGGGACACAGAAGCAGAGGAGGAGCCCCGTGGGGACGGAGGCAGAGACTGCAGTGAGGGGCCACCCACCCAGGGCCACCTGGAGCCCAGGAGCTGGAGAGGCAGGAGGGCCCCCTGGACCCCATGGACAGAGCTCAGCCGGGGACCCTGGTCCAGCCTCCGCCCTCCAGGGCTGGGGACGTGGACTCCTGTTGTTGAAGTCCCTGGGAGTGGCCATCAAGCCCAGGACACTCCCACAGGGCCACCGCGCCCGCCCACCCTGCCCAGGTTGGAGGAGACGGGAAGGTCTGTCCTGCAGCCTCCAGGCAGGACCTGCTGGCCCCGGCTCTCCGGAAGCACTGGGTGGAGCGTTTTGTGCTGGTGGCCCCCGTCCTCCCTGATGCGCAGGGAGGACCCCACCCCACATCCGGGGTCCACCCAGCCCGTGGGGGGCACAGTCCTGACGCCCGTCCTGTGCCGGTGCCTGGGGCCCACAGGCCAGCAAAGCCTCCCTGGCCTCTCCTCAGAGACGGGGTGGGGACAGAGCTGGGGGCGGGGGCTCTGGACGTCACTGTGTGGAGACCTCCTCCTGTGGACAGGGCTAGGGGCCACCTGAGAGCCCCTGCCTCTGCCCTCCTGGGACCTGCAGCCGCCCTGCCGTGTCCAGGACCCCACGGAGGGCACTGCCCCTGGCCCACGGCTGCCCCTGGCCCTCCCTGGGACCCACAGCTGACTGACCCTCCCTGGGACCACGGCTGTCCCTGACCCTCCCTGGAACCCACAGCTGACTGACCCTCCCCACGGCAGCCCCCACTGACGGCCTCCTGGGAGGGGTCCTCGTGGCCTGGACAGTGGCCCCTCGTGCCCTTGGCCAGCGTCTGCAGCAGCTCACACGCCCTTTGCTTCACGGCCTCCCGGTCTCCCTAGTGGAGCCAGCCGCGGTCTCCGGTGGGGGACGCTGGGCCAGCCACTCGGGCCCACGTGACTCCAGGTCCCTGTGTCTCGCCCGGCTCTGGGCACTAGCTGCTGTTTACGCTGTCCCCGGGGACGAGGTCCAGTCCTGGACGAGCGCTGGCTGAGCTCCGGCAGCAGCTCTGGCCCGGGCCTGACCCTCCAGTGAGCACACACTCCCACCCTCCAGGCCCGTCCAGTGGACGCCCAGGCTGGCTCCGGTGGACGCCTGTTAGTGCCCTCCAGGCCCGTCCAGGGGTGCTCAGACGCAGGTGGCTCCAGTGGACACCTGTTCCTGCTGTCCAGGGGTGCTCAGATGCAGGCTGGCTGCAGTGGTCACCTGTTACTGCCGTCCAGGGGTGCTCAGGGGCAGGCTGGCTGCAGTGGTCACCTGTTACTGCCATCCAGGGGGTGCTTGGACACAGGCTGGCTCCAGTGGTCACCCCTCACTGCCATCCACGGGGTGCTCAGGGGCAGGTTGGCTCTAGTGGACACCCATCACTGCCGTCCAGGGGGTGCCTGGACACAGGCTGGCTGCATGTCTCCCACCTGGCCCGTCTGCGGTCCTCCAGGGCAATGAGAGGTGGCCTGGGCTCGGGTGTCCCAGGAGAGGCCCCACACTGACCCCTGCCGGGCGTCAGTCCTGGCTCCCGCGTCCCCCATCCTCCCTAGAGCCCGGCCACGGTGGGGTTAGGGTTAGGGTCCAGCCCCCCAACCTGACCCTGACCGCGCCGTCCTCTGGCTGCAGTGACATGAGTGTGGAGCCCCCCAGGCCCCATCCACGATGCCCAGAGGCCCTGGCCGCTCCAGCTCCCGAGTGGCCACAGAGGACAGCTGCACACTGACCTCAGGGGAAGGGGCCAGCCAGACGCAGCCCCTGGGGCCACCTGCAGGATCTCCGCCTCCGAGGTGTGTGAGGAGCATAGAGGGGTCGAGCCTGGACCTGGGTGGGTCCCCAAGGCGCCTCATTACGCACCTGCAGACGCCCCCCACCACAGCACCCGCAGTCTGCAGCCTGCTGTCCCCAGGCCTGCGTCGGACACTGAGCAAGAGCTGCCGGTCACCTCCCGCCCCCCACAGCCTCCCCGTCTCCTCTGCACCAGGAGCGCCCGGGGAGGGACCCTGGACGGGCAGTGTGGAGGGCCGGCTCAGGGTGTGGGGCACGCTGGACGGAGGAGGTTGCTGGCAGGAGAAACGCTGGCCCCGGTGGCCCTGCTGACCGGCCCTGCGGAGGCTGAGAGATGGTGGACACACTGCAGCTCTCACCACCTGGAACCGCCCTGGTGGCTCCGGATACCCCAGGCTCTGGTCAGGGGTGCTGTGGCGTGGACGGCAGGGGAGTAGATCGCTGGCCAGACCTGTCCAAATGTCCACCTGCACGGGACACTTCCTGCTTTGCAGAGTCACCGGCCCTTGAAGAGCTGTGGGCTGGGGGACGGTGGGTGAGCCAGCGTCCAAGCAGGGCCAGCAAGAAGCACTTCCCATCGGTCACTGGACCTCCAGAGAGCGGAGGACGCCCGTGACCACTGCCCGGCAGCCAGGCCAGCGGGCAGGGTCCTCCTAGCAGGGACGGCCTCGGGCTGTGGACATGCATGGGCTCTGCTCACGCTGCCCAGGGCCTCCAGGGTGTCCCTGCCCACGGCCGGCCCAGGGCAGGGCTGAGGGCCAGCTCAAGGGGTCCTCCAGGAGAGGAGTGCCGTCCACTGCGGAAGTCCACCGGGCACTCCCTCCTCCGTCCCTTCCTCTCGGCCGCACACCTGGCTGCTGAGTCAGGCCATTTCCCAACCCCGAGCTGGCAACACAGGACGGCGCCCACGGGGCCTGGGCACACCTGAGGGACACCGCCCGCCAGTCAGCACCCAGCCACGCGGAGCCCGGGCAACGGATGGCCCCCCACGGCGACCACGGTCCCACGTCACACGGGCAGGAGGCTCCAGCTGTGGATGACCAGGCCTTGGTGACCACGTCACAGTTCACTCCCAGGGCAGGGACAACGGATGATCCAGGCCTTGGTGACAGCGTCACATGTCACACCAGGGCAGGGACAACGGATGATCCAGGCCTTGGTGACCACATTCCATGTCATTCCCATGGCAGGGACAGCGGATGACCAGGCCTTGGTGATCACTGACCTCCATCATTCCAAGGGTAGGTGGTGGCCGATTCTTGGTGACCACTGACCCCCATCACACCCGGGGCAGGTGGTGACCAGGCCTTGGTGACCAGTGGCCTTTGTCACTCCCAGGGAAGGGACAATGGATGACAAGGCCTTGGTCACCACTGACCCCCATCACACCCAGGGCAGGTGGTGGCCGGGCCTTAGTGACCACTGACCCCCATCACACCCAGGGCAGGCGGTGGCCAGGCCTTAGTGACCATATCACATGTCACTTCCAGGGCAGGGACAATGAATGATCCAGGCCTTGGTGACCACTGACCCCCATCACACCCAAGGCAGATGGTGGCCGGGTCTTAGTGACCATTGACCTCTGTCACTACCATGGCAGGGACAGTGGTGACCACTGACCTCTGTCACTCTAAGGGTCGGTGGTGGCCAGTTCCTGGTGACCACTGGTTCATGTCACACAGTGTCCATGTTGGACCAGTAAGAGCCCCACAGAGCGAAGGTGTCCTCGCTGGGCTGTGGGTGTGGAAGTGTCCCCTGGTCCTCACCTGGGTCTGTGACAGTCGTCCACTCAAGCTTTGAGAATGGCCCTTGCTGCTCTGGGGACGGGCTCTCCTCCTCCTGTCCCTGATGTCCCCTCCCTCATCTCAGGGTCACCTTCCTGCCTCCTCCTGGGCAGAGGTATCTGTCCCTGAGCCCACAGCCACCACAGGACTGGAGTCATGCAGCCTTTGGGGATGGCCCCAGAGGACCTCAGTAGTGGCCATCTCCCAGGTCAGCAGTGGGTGACAGCAGAGACCAGGGACCGCGGCCTCGAGTCCCCTCTTTGCTGCCACCCACGGGCAGGACCCCGCCTGGGGACCCGAGTGCCCGAGCTTCTTTGCTGGCAAAGCCATCGTGTCCCCTTTTCTCAAACCACTTCCTGGTCGTTGGATTGGCTTCGGGGACAAGGACCAGGTTCCGGCGACAAGCACCGGGGCCACTCAGGAGGAGAGGCCCTCACTTCGGGGAAGGTCAACACTCAGGGAGGGACCGGCAGTTTGCCGAGGCGGTGCTCAGAGATCAAGGGCCACCGGCGCTGGGATGTCGCAATCCCGGGCAGCTCGGGTGACCTGGTGAGCGGCAGCCACGGGGCGGGCGGGCAGTGCAGTCCCCCGGGGTCTCTGCTGTCCTCGGCCTCCCTCCCTGGGGACCTCTGGGGCCCCGCC